AATGCCTCACATTGGTATCACACCAATCTGCCTTATCAACCATCTTTTTAGGAGAGTTAAGAAAACAGTGATGTGTCAGCATATAGTAGAACTAACAAAAGCAGGTTATTCACGCCAGCCAAATTATTGCAACCGTAATGAACTCTAGCAATTCACCTTTGCTACTGTGCTCATGACAATGGAGGATGGTGGACTGGGAGCTGCAAGAGAAGAGGGGGGCACACTCTCCCTCTGGTCGATGGAGACAAGTTCTAATGGAGACATAGGTTTAATGCTGTTGTGCATGTGTTTAATGCTGCACATTCCATTGCTGTGATTTAGTCAAATATCACTTCAATAATATAAGACACGGATTGTTGTTGAAATATAAAGTGAAGACCACTCACACCTTTTCCATCAGGCCATGGGGGATTACCAGGCCCAGGTCTCATAATGTTGTTCAGTAGCGAAACAATACTTGGGAGGAGATTGCAAGTTGTGGATACTCATGGGGAAAATTAATTAATAATATATACAATGGATAAAATAAGGGCTTCTTATTTCTCTTACACAAATTCAGCATTCACTGCCCTTGCATGATCAGGTTAAAAGAAAGCCATATCTATTCTCATATTGTTCATTGTATATAAATCAACTGACAGAAAATTGACTACATATAAACCCATACCCAAAACCGTTGCCTTCGAACCAAGCACACCCTAAGGTTTGCAAAGGAACTTGGCTTATCAACATTTCCCCTTACCCGAGGGTCTAAACTCCAGGTGCTTGCCTTATGCATTGCATCCTCTCTGTCTTTCTTTAATCAGTACAACATTGCTTATGTGTGATTTGCCAACATTTAGGTTCACAATTCATGCTTTTGGAAACTACAGGAAATAATCCATCGCGAGGAGTATTTAGAAGCAATTGGTTATTTTTCTTGTAAGCTAGTGATCTAGTCATTATCAGACTCGCAAAAAAAACAAGTCATTATCAGACTTCTGTTCTATAATCCCCACTGTTTTCCTCATTATTACTAGCCCTAGAAAAGGAGCAGATTTGTATGCTTGGTTGATGGTTCCACCCAGACCATACGTTCAAAGTTCCAACTTAGATACCTACACTTGTTCCTCTAAATGGATCAGTGGAAACACAGATGCAGGTGGAAGGGGAGTCGGAGGAGTTACCTCACCAGATCTGGAAGGGGAGGTTGGTGGCGTGTAGATCGAGAGGTTGACGACGGGCTCCGAGGGAGGACGAAGCGCCGCTGCCGCCGTCGGCTTCAGGGCGCCGCTGCCGGCGGCTTCAAGGGAGGTGAACGAGGGGCGCCACCGTGGGCTCGCTGGGAGGACGACGAGGGCCGTGGATGCTCGATTCGGTGGGTGGAGTGCCGCTGCCGGCTTGAGGGGAGGCAGATGGGCGGCGCCGCCGCCGGAGGGCGCGCCAAAACCCTAGCGTAGCAGGCGTCGGGCAGGATGAGAGGAGGCGCAGGTGGGGAGCGAGAGCGACAGAGGCGTCGGTGGGAATGAAAAACGAAGGGGTACGCCCATAAGCGGTGGCATTGCGGGTAATTTTTGCGAAACGTTCGCCCTCACAGCCAGAAAAAGCACCTCTCGGGTGGCTGTGGAGAATGAACAACAAAAAAGTTGCTTTTGTGGAAGTAGGGGTTTAGAAGCTCATCCCTTTGGTTTAGCTTTTGACTTTTCTTGAAAGCAAAAGCACTTTCACAGCTTAACCAAAGGGACCCTTAGTTGAATATGTTTGGACCAACCCAGGTTGCATGAATCTTTTGTGTTATCGACAACACTTAGCAAAACCGTAGTGCACATATCTAGATAAAATCTTACATAGATTTTTAAAAGTAGGTTTTGGTTGGACGAATATTTTTAAGTTGTCTAATTCACCCTCCCTCTCTTAGGTATCATGGTCCCTTTAATTGACATCACCTAGATGGCTTGGTAATGACCGATGCTTGGTGACCTCTCAGTGAAGATTGTGAGAGGCCCAAGTTGTACACAGTTTCAATGGTCCACCGTTCCGTCTTGGAGAATGATCAACCACTAGAGAGCACTTGTTCCTTGCACGGATGAAGGGGGGCAGTACCTTGTGAGGTGCTCCAACAAGGACTACTGAAGAGTACCAACTCTCCGATACCTCATGAAACATCGTTGTGTCCCTTGTGCTCCCTCTTTAATTACATTATGCATATAATTTCTTGCAATTTACAATCCTAGAATTGTCATGCTAGTGTACGGTTGGAACTTAAGGTGCAAAACTTTTATGCTATAGGCACAGAACACCACGTATGGGTGAATTTAGCTAAGCATAGATTTCATTTTTGTGGAACTTTTAGATTAGCTTAATTCACTCCACCCCTAGCTACTGGGCATCTTGATTCTTTCAATAGACAAGCCCCTAATTAAATGGACTTTGGCACGGTGGTTGCACGTGGACTCTAAGGTGGGGGAGAAGAGACAAGTTTCAAGGCGGGTGGATGAAGAGCGGCCTTGGCGTCAGTAGCCGAGTGGCTAGGTAGGAGGTAGCGCCTCTTTTTGTGGGTGAGGGGCTGGGTGGTGGTGGTGGTACAGTGGCATGCATCTGAGGGGTGGCGGTGCAATCATGTGTGAGGTTGTGAGTGGGTGGCAGCGCTTTTGCGAGATTGAAGGGAAAGAGGAAGAAGGGAAAAAGGGGGTTGATAGGTGGACCCTGCATATCTACTACCTCATCTTAACTTTTGGTGTTTTGGAACCAAACACAGAATAAAGAATGGACTTGTCCCATTAACAGACATGAAATAGAATTGCTCCACCCCTAAAATGAGGGACATGACTATCTCATATGGTCATACCTAAATGTCTCTGTTGACACCCAAAAGTGTGCCAACATGGAAATTGGGTTGCGCTAGTGAGTTTCTAACATGAAAAGGGTATTGGAAAATATTTGGCGCGACAAACAACAAAGAAACATGCGAAGAAGAAGGAAGATGGCGCTTGGCCCGACAAAGTCGGCTAGGTTGGCTCCTCTGTCCAGAGTCGACTAAGCCGACTGTCCCTGTTTCGTCCCGGCCACAGTGCCTAGAGCCCACGAAAACCGGCTAAGCCGGTTTTTTTGCTGAGTTCGAGCCGGTTTGGTTTCCAAATCGGTTCTGGACTCTTTTTCAACGTGGGAAACTTGGAGAACTCATTTTGGGATTCACTACTACAGAATAAACAATCACTGCCGACCCTATCACTACCGGAAATTTAAAACCGACGCTGATAGATGCATCATTGCCGTTTCGTAAGAAAAAAAGGCTATCACTACCGGATTTTCTAACAAACCGACAGTGATAGATACTATCACCACCGGTTGGTAATAAAAGCCAGCAGTGATGTCTATCACTGTCGGTTGCATTTCATAGACCGCCAGTGATCCATAGGCTCCGGACCCAAAATTTTTATTCATCCTGGCTAACTCGTCCGTGCGCACCTTTCTTCATCTCTCCCTACTCTCTCTCCTCTCTCTCCTGAAGATATTTCTCCGCTCCTCAGACCTCCTCCTCTAGATTTCCTCAAATCCACCTCGCTGTGGCCACCGGTGAGCGGTCAGGACGTCGGCGCGGCGTAGGCACGAGGCCGTCGCATAGGCACGAGGTAGACGCCGACAAGCGGTCGGGATCCCAGCGCGGCTTCTTCCTCCTAGCGCTGGTGAGCGGATCCACCCGTCGACGAGCTTCTTCCTCTCGGCGACCGGCGGGAGCGCGGCTCGGGCGACCGGCACAAGCGAGCGCGGCTTCTACCTCATGGCTCACGGTACTCTTTCTCTTCCCTGGCAATTTTTCCTTCCCGGTGCTCTTTCTCCTCTCTCACACTTTGTCTCCTCAGATCTGTCTTGGGGGCGGCGAATGGGGGGCGCGGCTTCAAATCTTGTGTTTGAGCGGCGAGGGGCGGCCTCTGGCGTGAGACCAAGCTCACCCTTCCCGACGGAATCTCCACTCTCTCCCCCTCCCCTCACTCTATGTTGTATGAATCAATTTGTGGATGAGTTGATTTGTGATGTGTTGAACCCTTCTGTGTGATGTATGAATCGATTCGATTTGTGGATGAGTTGATTTGTGTTGTGTTGAATCCATCCTCCTTTGTCTGTGATGTATGAGTTGTTTCTTGTATGAACTGCTTGATGGAGCGGCGGTGGGGGGAGCCAGCGAGCATGGCGGTGGTGGCGGTAGCTAGCAAGCATGGCGGTGGCGGCGGTAGGCAGCAAGCTTGCTTGCTGTACTTTTTTTTGTTTTTTTAAAGCTTATCACTGCCGGGTGAAGTGCCGGCACTGATAGCCAAGAGGCGTCACTGCCGCTACGCCAATGTCGGTTCAAAATCCGGCAGTGAAGAGAGTTTTTGAACCGACAGTGATGTGAAGAACTGGGGTAGTGATTGTTGCCTACAAGCTAGGATAAGACGACCCCCTATATATATAAATGAGTGGATCACAGCCGAGAGGTCTGTACCCTGTTATTTGTCACATCTTCCGGCATGTTCTAGGTGGTCTTGCCAATCCTAGGACAACCTCTACGTGCTCCTCCCAGCTGACGGGTCTTTCTGGGAGGTGTTCGAGAGTTTACCCGGCGAAGAACTGACTCAACATCAGCCTATCTGACCTCTCGGTTGGTTTCGTCGATCCGCTCGTGTGCTAGTCCTTGCTGTTGTGTGGTTCTAGAAGGCTCGACCTTTTAACACCAACAAAGGCTTGAGAAGGTCCGGTGGTAGCAATTTCTATAGGCAGTCTACAAGCTTTGTGTTCTATGACATAATAACGATAGAATTTATAGCACAGTATATAATGCAGAAATTTCGTTTTTCTGAAATTCCTATGACGGCTTATGATGTTGAATACGGAATCGATTATAACAATTTGTGTTTATTTATTCCATGGGCAAATTCGATACATGGATGGATATTGCATACGCTCTGACGTCTCCATCATAACATTATTATGGGCATGCTGCTTGCCGTACGTAGCTCTTATCAGTAGTAATGCCCCATTATTTACGCGTCAGCGTGATGCTCCAAGGTAGCAGTAGTAGTTCCAGCAAGGGATGTGCTTCCGAAGGAACTCTGGTTGTAGCAGTCCAAGTTGTCGCCATAGCTGATACCAAGGATGTCGCAGTAGCTGGTGTAGAAGAAGGTCCGGTTGGCAACACGGTCGTCGTAGCCGTGGCCGCACTCGAGGCCGCCGTTGATGATGTTGGTGATGACGCCGTAGCCCGGCAGCCTCCCCGCGGCCTCGTCGGCGGCCGAGGGGGTCCACTGCTCGGTGATGACGTCGTGGCACGACGGCTTGGGCGACTGCGGCGTCATCCAGAACCAGATGGCCGTCTTGAAGGAGACGACGGCGTCCGACGCCACCAGCTCCGGGTTGCTCAGCAGGTCCTCGCCGATGGTGGGGTCCTGCCCGGCGGGCCCGTAGTTGTAGTTGTAGGAGAGCTGGATGGGCCCGCGGCCGAAGTACTTCTTGCCGGGGACGCACGGCCACTGGGCTTTGTCACCCTCCATGTCGCAGTAGTCGTCGGTGGCGCCCTGCTCCTCCTTGTAGCAGTAGCCCCAGGTGAAGGCGCCGTCGGGCGCCTCCGGCCACCCGCCCGTGGTCTCGTGCCCCGTCTGCCCCAGGAACGCGGCGAGCTCGCGCTTCTGGATCTCCGTGTCGCCCGTGGTGCCGAAGCCGTCGAAGGCGTTGGCCGCGGTGATGAAGGCATCGTACGTGTAGAAGCCCCGAGCTGGGCACTGGACGTCGTTGCGGTTCTTCAGCATCCTCTCGAACAGAGCTTCTGTGATAATGGACGCCACGCCGCCACCGCTCGGGGGGCTAGGGGTGGGAGGGGGAGGGGGAGGCCCTGGAGGGGGTGGGGGCGGGGTGCTGCCGCCGCAGCTGCCGGTGCACTGGCTCTGGCAGCCGTCTCCGCAGTAGTCGGAGGTGGAGCCGCAGTATCCCCACTGGCTGCAACAGAGGCAGTCCGCGCAGAGCGCCCCGTCGGCTTGCTCGCCGCACTGAGCAGCTCGAGCGGACACGGCGAACGCCACGGCCAACACGGTCACTAGTGCCAGTGTTCTCATCATGGCCTGGTGCGTGCCAGAAGAGGAGGGAGAGCATGCCCTTATATACAGGCAGCAGGGCAGGCTGGCACAATGGAGGATCTCATCTCGATTACGCCTTGTTCTCAACTATAGGTGGCCCAGAGGGCCTGTCCTGCCACAGTCCGGACACGTTGTAAGGATCCAGATGACTAGAGTGGAGAGGATTTGAATAGACTAAATATAGGGCTTTCATCCATTAAAAGTACTGTTGTTTAAATTTACTAGATATGTGTCCGTGCGTTACACAGGTGCTATGAATTTTTGTCCACGGCTACTGCGAAGGTTTTGATTATTTTCACAAAATAATTTAAAACTACTAAATGATTTTGTATTGGGAACCTAAACTATTTTAAAACACTTTTAGGCTTTTTGATCATATTCAAAATAATTAACGTGAATGCCAATTCTTTTGTTCCTCGATTTAGTACGGCCCTGATATCGAGCCTCTTCCACGTTCTGGTCCGTGACTTTGGAGCTGACAATTTTTAAGGACCAACTTTGGAGTAGTCTACGGATTGTACATTGCCTTAGGCTTTTCAAGATTTATATATATTTCACACGCAATGACATGGTTATACTCTCTGGTCAAAAGGAACTTAACAAAATTCGAATACTATTTTTTGGATTTGGTTTTGATTTTATATAGATTTTATAAGTTTCAGTCAATTTGTGTATTGTTTGTGCTTTGTATTGGGAACCCTCAAGTCTACGAAAATCTTGATATCACATCTTTTACTACTCATTTGCTGTTTTTGTTTCTTTGCATTTTCTCATCTGGAATGCTCCACTTTTTTTTGTATTCTTGCCTTCAACTCCTTGCTGAATATTAGATCAAGAAAACTCACATACTCTCGGACAGGACTGACCTCGAACAGAACTTGTCTCCCTCCAACTCGAACTCGACGTGAACTCGTCTCTGGAGTCTCAGGGGTATTTGATTCGAGCTACTAAACTTTAATAGCTACTAAATAGTTTAGTTACTTTTAGTAATAAAAGTGCGGACGGTGGTTGGCCAGCTGGGCCCATGGAGGCGCGCACACGATTAACCACATGCGTATGGACTGGTGTTATGATCTACTCCCTCCGTCCCGTTAAGATTGTCGCTCGGGAAGCGGGATTGTGAGGGGGACACGGTTTTCCAACGACAAACTCAATGGGACGGAGGGAGTACACTGACGGTTCCTCCATGAAACCGTCTTCACTTACTTTTTCCCCTCTATATATATATATAGTACGAGGAGTACCATATCCCATTGCATGCATGCTCATGGATCACGTGCGCTTATCTTGTTCATGAAAGCTGCGAAAGGCTACGTGACGCGGAGCGCGGGCACTACACTAGACTGGGCAATTGAATGGGGTGACAGGTCCGCCTCGCCCACTGTACTGCACGCTCCTCCTCCTCGTCACTGCCTGCGACCGCGAGCTGTACCTACTACCAATATAATAATGCACGTACGTCCAGCTGCTCGAGCTCGACGATCGGCCTGTTCGCTGGTTGGTTTCTATACTGATAAATCCGACCAGTGCTGATTTGTTGTGAGAGGAAAACATTGTTGGCTGACTGATAAGTCCTGGCTGAAACCAACAAGCGAACAGGCTGAATATCTATTTTCCACATCCCGGCCTTATAGATGGCCATCGGCCCGTGCCGGCCCGGCCCGGTGGCTCGGCATGCCGTGCCGGCACGGCACGGCATCGTGCCTCGACGGGCCGTCGTGCCGGCCGTGCCGTGCCTAGGCCGTGCTCGTGCCTGGCCAACGGACCATGGCATGGCCCGTGGGCCGTTTTGCCGTGCCGTGCCGCCCGGTGGGCACGGCCATTTTCACCGGACCGTGCCGGCCCATGGCCCATGATGCACACTTCATAGAATCAAAGTTTCACAGTTCACACAATCACACTTCACAGAATCAAAGTTCACACTTCTTTCATAGTTCACGAGCTTTACGTAAAAAGAGAAGATGAGAACCTGACACACAGATGACAAATCATATGATGAACTTATATTCGAGAATGAGCTGTTTTGTGCAATCTTTGCCTCATTAAAAACCTTTCTAGGTAAAACTCACCCTTGTGAGAAACCCTAGAAAAGAAAAAAAAGAGTGCAGCCAAATTTGTCAAGGTCTTATAGTTCTATACTTCTATCCTATTAGGATAGCCAACATCAATGGCAAAAGTCATTGTGACTTAGTGAGTTCACGATCACAACAATAGGAAGCCAGGAAGGCGAGGAACAAAGAAAAGTTCTATCCTATTACAACATCAGGTCATCGGTGGCAAAGTTCTTCCTTCATTGATCATAGTGACTCACTCTAGCACACCAAAAGTTCCCGCAAGCAAAGCAATGTTAGTACCAAAGAGATTTGAATGTAAAGAAATGATGCAAATGGAACTTGAATGTTGAGTGACTACCTCTCATCTTCTCTTCTTCTTCTTCTCCATCCACCAAAGAAGACCAAATAGATTACTGGCCACGCCACCGACGACATTGGAGCCGCTGCCTTCGCCTTTGTTCATCGAGGAAGAGGTTCTTGAATGCCTCCTCAAGGTCCAGTCCTCGGTGTATGTTGTTCTCTTCTTGCACCTTGCTCCTAATCCTTGATGCAGGTGAGCATCTCAACATGCTCAGCAACAAGCGCCGCCGCCGATCTTCGAGTATCCTAGATGTACAATTTGAAACAGGACTCGGAAGAGACAGTGACACAGGGGCAGTATATAATATCTCGAGCCATAATAGACAGGATTAGATAAGTTAGCTTGTGGTCACGCCACCGAGAGGAGTATGTCAAAGGATTCCTCATAACATGTGACAGGTCACTTTGTCCAAGTATGCTTTGAGCTCACTAACAACAGATGGAGTATGAGTCGAGGGGAAGAAGAGACAGGGGAATCACCAGACCTCCAAAGATCCTTCCCCATGCCTGCTTTGTCTTACCAAAGATGAGTCAAGGGATTGAAACCCTCTCGAGACCTCATCGCACCAAATTTCTGCTTCATACTTGCCAAACAATTTATACAATTCATCTTTTACATCAGCATAGTATGAACTATAAATGCATCCAGTTGCCTTACCAAGCAATTCAAGCACATTAAAGAACCCTTTCATCTTAGCTCTAGGATCAAGAATGAATGCATATGAATAAATGAGTGGAATTTTCTCCCAATATTTAAGGAATTTAAGCTTCATAGGAGTAGCAATCATTCTAAAATTAGCATCTTTTTCAGCATTTTGCAAATGTTCAGCCATGTCAAGCATATGGTGCAAAACAAGTGGAGTTGTGGGATAATAAACCCCAAACAGCACAACAGTAGAGTTATAGAAGAGTTCTAGGAATATCATTATTTGTTCAGTAACATGCCAATGCTGTGCAGTCAACAAAGTAGAACCATAATTAGAGGTAATAAACACATCAAAGACTTCTTTGTATGGCAGCAAATGTTTGAGCATCAAAAAAGTAGAATTCCATCTAACATCCATGTCCAAGCCAAACTTCCTAGGTCTAAGACCCTGAGCCTTGCAGTAGTTTTTAAACAATGCAATTCTTTGATTAGAGGAATTTAAAAAACTTATTACAGTTCTGAAATTTTCAGTATAAGGTTTCAACCTCTTCATGCCATATTTAACAATAAGATTGATGATATGACATGCACAACGCTGATGCACAAGCAAGTACTGCACCTTGTTAGGATCAGTGGGGGTAGGTGCAGGATAAGAACCCAAATAACCAAAGAACATAGGCTGCAAAATCTCATATGCCCTAGAATTAGCGTAAGCATTGTCTAGAGACACGTAAAAATACCTTGTCTATCAAACCAAACTCCTCAACCACACTAGCAATCCTATCAAAGAATGTTATCACCGAATGTGAAACATCAATCAGCCTTAAACCAATTACTTTTTACTCTCTCAGAACTCCCAATCAAAGACTAACATAATGAGCAACCACGATATATAATCCTCTTTAGCATTACCGCACCAAATATCGGATGTCAAAGAAATAGAAGATGCAACAGTAAACACAGATTTCATAAGCATATCACGTTGTTCATCAAACAGTTTAGACATATCTCTGCCTAGAAACCTTTTGGAACAGAGGATTATGAGCACGCTTAATGTAATCCTCCCAAGCATCGGTCTCACCTATCCCTAAAGGAAGGTCTAGCCTAGCAATCAAACGCGGCACAACTCAAAGTCGAGCAATCAAAGGATCATACACCCAATTGTTCAAACCATCGATTCGTGAGCAAGCTTAGACTGGACAGGACTAGCCTGATCACATTTTTTCATACAAGAATTCATGTGCCGTCTCAAATGGCCAGTGCCAGCGGCCGATCTAGCAGTGTATCGCGCATGACAATGTTTACAGATGGCACGTACTCGAATTCCCTTCTCCTTAATCTCATGGAAGTAATCCCAAACAGCAGAAACTTTCTTACTAGAGGAGGTACCATGAGTGTCAGTGGATACCTCAACTCCACCATCGTTGTCGTCGCCATCGACATCGATGGGCGGTTCTCGTCACCATCGAGGTCGACGCCGAACAGACCGGCTGCATCATCACGTATGTCGTCGTCGTCCTCGACTTCTAGCAGGTCATCCGCGTACAGCGCCTGGTCCTCACCGTCGCCGAGGGGATGCTGATTCTCCCCCCACGTTGCGAGGCCGGAACCACCCGCGGACGAGCCGGACAGCCGTGCCCGACCTCGACCTCCAGCAGCACCAGCACCGCCCCTCAACGGGCGCTTGGACGGCCTGGCCATGTCTACTCGGAGAGGAGGAAGACGCGCGTCGTCAGCGCCAACCTCCTGCACGCAAGAAGAAGTTAGAAGAAGAAGTGAAGAACTGAAGAAGAAGTGAGAAGAAGACGAAGAAGAAGTGAGAAGAAGAAGAACAGATGACAGATCTAGGGTTAGGGTTAGGGAAGAAGTCCAACCTGTGTACCCGGAGCCCGGTGTCGGTGATGAAGAGGCCAGCCAAGCAG